CAGGCTGAGGAAGCCAAAGGAGCAAGGCAGTAAACAGTACTCCTCCATAGTCTCTGCTTCAGTTCCTGCCTCCAGGTTTTTGCCTGTGGCTTCCTGGGAGTTGGGAGTGTAAACTGGAAAAACAAAAAAACAAACAACAGAAAAAAAAAAACCTATCCTCCCCTAAGTTGATTTTGGTCATGTTGTTTTATCACAGCAATAGGGAGACAAAGGCTCACAGGAAGAGGTCTAGCACTTTAGAGGTTGAGGCAGGAGGATTACCATAAATTCAAGCCAGGCTGCAGTGAGATGCTGTCTGGGGCGGGGAACCAATCTAAAATGGCATAGGAAGAAATCCGTGCCCTTCCTCAGCACAAGTATAAGGCTGATTTAGAAGCGCAGCTTCAGATCTAACCCTCTGGGATGAAAAGACCGTTGCACTGAGCGAACAGAGCCAGAGACTAGGCTGGAAAGGAACCCAAAGTGTGAGGCCACCAGACTGCATCCCAACCAGTTTACATTTAGCAACTTTTGACGCAACGTGTGCCTATAAGATGCAGTAATAAAGACCAGCTCAGGCGATGCCCTGTCTTCTCATTTAATATCCTTGCAGTGTCTGAGCCACATGGATGCATCTGATACAAAGAGCAGGCCAAAGATAAGACCCACAGAGTGAAGGGGAGCCGGGACGCAAAGGGCTCCTGGTCGCTGAAGCATTGGTCAGCTCCAGGCTTGTGAGGGTGGAACAGGGAGCAGGGCAGAGGTGGTCCACCAGACTCAGAGAGGAAAACTCCCAGCGGAGAAGTCATTCCTGCCCTGGGACCAGAGCTGGGACCTGCAGCTCAGTAAAGAGGATCACATGGGCCTGGAAGTCCACAGAACAGCAGGAAGTAGGAAAGGGGATAGTTTACAATCAGGTGTGTTACTTGATCCTTTTGCAGGCCTGGGCATTTGAATCTCTGTGCCTCAGCTCCCTCCTTTTCCCCTTCCCACCTCTTCTTCCTTTCTTTTAGAGACACAGTCTGGTCTCAGACTCCCTGCATAGCAGACGATGACCTTGGATTTTTTAATTTCCCCCCCTCCCCCACTCCCCACCACTTTCTAGTGATAGAATTATAGGTGTGCCTGCCTGTTTTGGTTTTTGTTGTTGTTGTTTGTTTGTTGTTGATGTTGTTTAAATGTAAACAGTCCTGAAGTGTCACATGCAAACATAGTGAAGTTAAAGACCCAAAATGAGTAATAAAGCCTCCATTTGGGAGAGCTCATTCCTGAGTGCCTACTGGGTACCTGGCCCTGGCCAATGGAAAACCATCAGTCTGTGAAGTGAGGGGGGATTAAGGACACAGGACCCTCAATCGTTAACTAAGAAAAGTACTGCATAATACCCAGTATCAGCGAGCTGAGATGGGGCCACTCAGAGGACCAGGGTAGCTGCTTTAGGTCAGGTAGTCAGACACAGATAGTTCCTCTGAGGAAGGGACATTCAATTAAAAACGTAAAAAATGATGGAGAAGATCAGGTGCCGAGTAGAAAAGGGAGACATTCTCAGGAAAGACGATGTCACCATCAAATCGCTAGGAACTGGAAGCTCCAAGGTAAAAGAACTTTATACTGAACACCAAAGAAGAAATGAGAGAAGAGAGGGGGTGAGACCATTTATAAATGCCCACTGCAAGTCAGACTCCACACTAGTAGACAGTGAACATGTTATCTTTCACCTCGCAGTTAGGAAGGGCCGAGGTGGCAACTCTTTTTCCAAAAGAGTCATTGGAGTTTGGGGTGACTTTGCAAGAGAGCTGTATTCAAGTTTTCACACACACACACACACGCGCGCGCATGCGCGCGTGCACACACACACACACGAACCAGCAAGATGTCTCAGTGGGTGGAAGTAGTTGCTGTCCAAGTCTGATGACCTGAATTGAACTTCCAGCAGCCATAGTAGAAGTAGAGAACCGAATACTGAAAGCAGTCCTCTGACTTCCACACATTTGTGGGGACATTCGTCCAATTCATAAACTAATAATAATAATAACAACAATAATAATAATAAATAGATACATATGCAAACATTCAGACATAGAAATTTAAATGAAAACAAAGACCTTGGATGGACAGAGATTTTTCCAAAGAAGATATACAGATGGCCAATAAGCACACGAGATGATCAGCTTCGTTAGTTATTAGGGGAATGAAACGAAAACCATTTTGATATAGCATTACAGCCATTAGGGTGGCTGCCTGCAAGAGTGCTAAGTGTTAGATGACAAGTGAAGAAATGGAAACTTCCATGCGTGGTTGGTGGGAATGGAAAACACTGCAGCCGCAACCAAAAATTGTGTTTCCAAAAGAAAAAAAGATCAGTTACCCACTAGCCAGTAATTTTTTCTTCTAGAACTACACATCAGGTAACTGAAGCAGGGGGCACCCATGTTTCTAGCAGCATTTTCCCACAAAATGGAAAACAAAACATGGATCAAGCCAGGTTCCCAGGAATAGATGAAAGCATACACGCCGTGTAATTGACACGCAGTGTGGTTCTGCCTCAGGAAGGAGGGAGTGTCAACACGCGCTACAGTGCTGATGAACTCAGAGGCATTTGCACCCAGCAGAGCCACTACAAAGATCCAGATACTCTTGACTCCTCTTATGTTGGGTACCGAGTCTAGTCAGACTTACAAATAGCCTGGCATGATGGTGTACAACCGTAACGTCCACACTTAACGAGGTAAAGACAAGAGGATCACTCGGAGTTTGAGGCCAGCCAGGACTCCATAGTGAGGCCCTGTTCCAAAAAAAGCACACACACTAATTTACAAAGACAGTAGAAATGTGGGTGGCAGTGGGAGTAAGTTTTGATGGGGCCATTTTCAACTGGGGGAGATGGGTTATTGGTTCTGTTTGCCCCATGCTGTGAATGTGTTTAGCTACTGTGCACCCCAAAGTGGCTAAGATGAACCAAGTTTGATGGGAAAGCCCAGCATTAGAAGACGGAAGTAGGATTTCTGCGATTTTGAGGCTAGTCTAGTCTACACAGAGAGAACTGACCCAGAGGATGTAAAAGCTGGAGAACAAAGGCCACCTCTTGCTCACTGATGCAAGGGGTTAACTAGTTAGGGCAGTCCTGGATAGATCACCCTGGTAGCAAAGACAGGGGAGAGCTGGTGTGCTGACCAACCCTCCAAGTGTCCAGATCCAGAACCAGAGTTATGTGTTGGCTGACTCCAACACCCACCCCATCCGTGACCTTCTGGAGCACAGGGGTCGGGGCTGGGGATGGAGTCAGTCCTGTGGACCCAGGGCTGCAAGAGCTCCACAACACAGGGCAGCAATGGAATGTCCAGGAAGAGTCCCAGTGAGGGCCCAGTAAAAATATATGGGTAAAGGAGTTTACTGCGTGACTCACTGTGTCATACTGTAGCTTCCATGACGAGATTTTCGCCTTCTTCCTTTTCCCCCCCTCTTTTTCCCTTTAAATTTTATTTTGTTTTATTTTGAGGTGGGGAGGGAGATGGGTGGGATTGGGGGCATGGTGTGAAAGACACAGAGAATAAATAAATAAAAAAGAGAAAGGGAATCTTGAACAATTTGGTATTCTTTCGCTGTTGCTGTTTCATCCCTTTTAATATAAAGGTTTATTTTTATTGTCTTAACTCTACATTTTTTGAAGGGGTGTGTATGTGAGTTTTGGCCCAAGATACTGGATCCCAGGAGCTGGAGTTATAGGCAGTTGTGAGTCGGCTGACATAGGTGCTGGGAACTGAACTCATGCACTGTAAATGATACTCTTAACCAATAAGTCATCTCTCCAGCCCATGAATTTTGTTCTGTGTTTCGAAACTGTGTCTTTCTATGTAATAATCCTGGCTGGCTGGAACTCCCTATGCAGAAAAAGAGATCTGCCTGTCTCTGCACCCCAAATGCTGGGGTTAAGATGCATACCATAAGCCCAGCCCTGTGTTTTGGTGTTGAGACAGTTTCTAGTAGTTCAGACTAGCCTCCAACTCACTGGGATGATGACCTTTGAACTCCTGATCCTCCACGTCCCCTTCTCCCCTTTAAGATTCCCTTCTCACTATTCTGTTCCTTTAGAGAATGTTGATTAATATACTAGGCAAAAACTCCAACACCAGAGAAACACTACCCAGCCTCTCTAAAAAATTCAAGATTCTGAATTCCTAAACCACACCTGGTGGGAAGGGTGTGTGACACAAGATTGTGCATACAGTATCAGTGTCCTAGGAACACTGAGGAGGGACAGCCCATCTAGTGACGGCTTGGCTTACAATAGAGGCAGCTGGATACTATTATTATTTATTATTATTTTAACTTTTTGGGTTTTTTTTTGAGGGAGGGTCTTTCCATAAAGCCCTAGCTATCCTGGAACTCTCTACATAGACCAGACTGGCCTTGAACTCACAGAGATTCTCCTGCCTCTGCCTCCCTGTGTTGGGATTAGAAGTACAAGCCATCATGCCCAGCCTACAAAGTTTATTAACATAGGTAAACATCTCTCAGTCCCCTATCAGTAGTTATTGTTGCCTCTTACGAGGAACAGAGGTAAGAGAGCCACCTGGAGATCCTGCAGCAGCAACCTAAGGAGAGTTTCATGCACTCATAAAGATTTCCTGTGGCAAACTCAGAGTGCCTCAAAAGAGAAGTGTGGAATGTAGTCAGGGGAGCGATGCAGCTCAGAAAACGTGTTGTTAAAATCCACTTTGAACAAACATTGCCACCAGCGGTCCTCCTGGTGACGTGAATGCTGTCACCGCTCCCTGAAGCTAACACTAAACAAGAACTGGAAAAAGGCACCCTACAGCCTGCCTATCTATCTCCTAGAACTCTGCTTCAATCAACCTTCTCTACTTCTCAATGATTCAAACGAGCTCACGTGCTCACTGCTAACCAATCATTGCCAAAGTACTGACCCTATTTTAATTCGTCAATAAAGCACAGGGGGCTGGGAATTTTAGTACAGAACAGTTCAGAGCTTTGCAGTGGAGCCCAGAGGGAGGAAGACAAGCTGCTGCAGGAATCCGGGCCTAGTCTTCGAGAAGTCGGTGTGCAGCCTTCCGCACAGCCGTGGCCTAGAGCCGCACCCCAATCCCGAAGCCTGTGGCCGTTCCTGCTCCCCGGGCCTGCTCACGACAAGTCAGCAAAAAAACTGCAGGGCACTGCCCGCAAGGTCGAGACGAAAATTCGCGTTTTCTCGCACCATGGAGCGAAACTAGCCTAGCCCCTCTCGGACCGCAACTCTCGAGGCACCGCCCAGCGCAGCTTTAGCTATGCCGATTGGTCTTAGGCTCCATCTATCAAGACTCAGTAACCAATCACAAGGGAGAAGAGGCGGGCGCGCCTCCCGCGGACCAAGGGTTGTAAAAAGTTGTAGATACTGAACAAACGACCTCTGGGATTGACTCTGTGAACCGAATACAAGCCAGCCACAGTCAGGCGTCGGCCTGTGGCGGGTGAAAGAGTCCCGGTACTTAGGGACGTAGACGACTCGGGTTTCGGCTACTCCTGCCTGCAGTCCTCAGTGGGGTACAATCTGTGTCCCGCCGGCCACGCCCCGCGCTTCCTCATTGGCTTCTTCAGGCACGTGGTAGGGTGGTCCCGCCTTCGGGTGGCCTGAGAGGCGGCACGCAAAACCGCATGGACAGCTTGGCGCCGGGCCGATGGAGACGACGAAGGATCGAGGAGCTGCCGGCCGCAGGGGACGCGGTAAGCTCCGGGCGGGGCGGGAGCCGAGGGAGGCGGCGCCCAATCTGGCGTGCGGGCGGCTAAGGCGTGGCCTTTCCGGACGCGGGCATGCTGAGCGGCGGAAGCCCAAGGCGGGGCCGGGGGCGGGGCCAGGCAGAAGACTGTCCCGCCCCTCCAGCTGCGCTTGCGCACAGATGCCTAGTCGTGTACTCCTTGACTAAATTGTATTATCGTGTTCTGGAATTTATGAGTCACAGCCTGTGCCAAAAGTCCGATCTAGCCACCCATCCTCAGTAAGCAAATTGAAAAATCCAAGTTAAAAGTAGGAATCAGAAAATTATTTATTTGTTGCAGCCGCATTGGGAAAGGGATCCAGGGAACCACGTCAAGTTTGACTTTGGAATTCTTGAAGTATGAGTAAAGGTGAACTAGAGCGCCAAGAATATCTAAACAGTCCGTGTCAAAAGTGTGGCCTGGCCAACACTGGCCCATCATTGTCGTCTTGTGAGGTAGTCTGACAGGTTAGAACTGTGTGAAATCTCTATGTCCGAGACGCCTTCTCCCTTGGTCTGGGACTCTTTCCTTCTCCCCGCATGAGATTCTTAGGGAAATACTCATGTGTTTGGGGTCCGTTGTTTGGATAGTCAGATTAAGAGTTGCTTTTCTCAGAATGTCTCCATTTCTGCCATGTTTGTTAATGGAGGATCAGTGTGAAAGAAAGCCCAGGTGCTCAGAGTCAGCCTGTCGCAGGCGTCTAACTCCAGCCCCAAATCTTGGGAGAGGGCAAAGGGAAATTAAGCAATGGAGGGTAGGTGAAGGCCTTCTGTGTCACATACTGCTCAGGAGCCGAGCCTGTTGCATCACCTCTACGTAGTGAGAGATCTCACTAGGGACCTGCACAAATTGAATTACAACAATATTACCAAAAAAACCCAAACCTGAACAAAACGAAAACAAAACAAAAAAAATCAACTCACTCAATGTGTTAAGTAAGTTTATGGTTTCGCGTTACACCTCATTGTGGAACAGAAGTTTGAAGTAGGCAATCTCTTAGCGGAACTGTGCTCGCCTCTGCTTCTCCATGCAACTGAGCGTTTCTTACTCACTTCTCATCTTCATTTATGGCCTCTGTTGTTTTGAGGCAGAGTCTTCTCTATTCTCTGGTTCAGGCTGGCCTCCAGTGACTATGCAGCCGCAAATGACCTTACTTTCCTATCCCGCAGCCTCCTCCCAGAGCTGGGACTACAGGTATGCACCCTTAAAACTGGCTCCAGCATTTTATTTTTCTTCCTGCCCCCCCCCAGTGCTCTAGGCTTGCTGCATGTTGATGTGTCTTTCCAGTTAGCACAGCAATGTTACTTTTACTTGTGGTTTTGTTTTGAGACAAGGCCTTTCTATGTATTCCACAGTGGTCTAGAACTCTCTCAGGCTGGTTTTGTACTCTCATGGCTTCTACCTTAGTCTCCCCAGTGCTAGGATTATAGACACAGCCACCATTCCCACCTGCAGGCAGCTTTGAATTTTTTTTTTTTTGTTATTTCTACAGTGAAGCAAGAATGGCTAGGGTAGGGATGGGGTGGCTTAGTGGTAAAGCAAGTACTTAGTATGCACAAGGGGGCCAATCAGAGTGGGAGAGGATTTCTGCAACCGTGAATCTGATAAGGAACTTCTGTAAGAATGTGTGTAGAAGGGGCCCGGAGAGATAGATCAGTGGTTAAGAGCATTTGCTTCTGCTCTTGCGGAGGACCCAGGTTTGAGCAGAGGATGTGGTAATCATTTCTCCAAAAACGACAGACAAATGGCCAGGAAGTTTATGGAGATAGCTCATCACTCCTCAAGAAATATATATATATCAAAATGCAATGAGGTCACACTTCCTATCTGAACCTTTGTATTTTCTTCTAAGAAAGTTGGTTTAGCTTCTGCGTTTGGATCTGTGTTCCATGTCCAGGAACATGTCCAGGAACTGTGTTCCATGTCCAGTACTTAAGTACTAAGTTCTCAGCTCCCTTTGTAGAACAGCTTCTTTTCTTCCCAGTAATCGCCTTTGCAGCCCAGGTGGAAATCAGTTCCTTTGTAAATGGGAGGGTTTTCCTGGACTTTCAGTTGGTCCATATATTCACCTTTGTGTTAGTACAGTACAGTAAGTACTATGGAGCAAATGGGAGGTCCCTGAAAAGGCCACACCCATGCTAAAGGTTCTACAGACTGATCGAACTTCTATGACTGTGGCAAGCTGCAATGTTGCAGATCTTATAGGTCGAGAACCAAGAATCTCCAGCTGTCCTTAGTCATTTACAGCGGTTCATCCTCTATATCACCTACCCTTGTGGCTATCAGAGTAAAGCCTTTGAAATGTATTAACTTAGGAGACTGTTAGCTTCCATGAGCCCACAAAAAGAAGGCTATAAGATAGACTTATTTCCTTGGTTGTGACATTCCTACCTGATGCACCAGTGTGCCCAGTAAATGCCTTAAGTTATCATGGCTGTCTCTGCTTCCACAATGGAACACAGCATCCATAGCCTTTGTTCCTGAGTCATTCCGAATAAACCATTTCTTACTTCTTTTAACGTTAAAGTTGTGTTTTGCAGACACTTTACTTGAAGTCATGTTGAGATCTGTAAAGCAATTCTCAAAGTTTGTTCATTTTTGTAGGTTATGTCCACTCTTCTGGGTCCCTCGTTCCCATATTAATTTTAGGATCTGGCTTTTAATTCCTTCAGACAGGTCAGCCAGAGTTCTGCTGTGCTGAGGATTGACCCCAGAGCCTTGGTGTGTTAGGCAGGTGTTCTACCACTGGGTGACATCCCTCGGTCATTCTCCCCTACACTCTGCTGTGTAGACAGAAGTTTTGTTCAATAGCCGTTCAGTCCCAAAGAAACACATAGAGGCTTATATTAATTATACACTGTTTGACCTATTGCTCAGGCTCATTACTAACTGGCTCTTAAGACTTAAATTCACCTATAATTCTTGTCTATGTTTAGCCACGTGGCTGGGTACCTTTTCTCTGTAAGGCAGTCTCATTTTGCTTCCTCTGCATCTGGCTAGTGACTGACTTTCTGCTTTTCCTCTTCCCAGAATTCTCCTAGTCTGGTTGCCTCACTCATACTGCCTGCCTGACTACTGACCTATCAGTGTTTTATTAAGCCAATATGAGTGACAAATTTTTATAGTGTACAAGAGCATTATCCCACAGCACCCTTGTGTAAAATTTTAGTTTGATACAAGCCGGCTTTGAATCTGTGGTTCCAATTTAATTCCACTCTGGTCTGAGAACATACTTAGTATGACTTGGATCCTTTCAAATTTATGAAAATGTCTTATTCCAATTCCATGACCTCAGATGTGGTTGTGTGGTCTGCTGTTTTTTTTGTTTGTTTGTTTGTTTGTTTTGTTTTGTTAGAGAGAGAGAGAGAGAGAGAGAGGACCTTCTACATAGCCCTGGCTGTCCTGGAACTCACTTCATAGCCCAACCTAGCCTATTTACAGTGATCCCCCCCCTTCTTCAGCCCAAGTGCTGGGATTAAAGGTATGTGTTGTAACAACTGGTTGAAGTGAGTTTCTTGCATACCATACTTGAGTCATTTAATTGGATCTGACTGTGGAAATCTTGTCCCATGACTATTGATACAATTAAAATCCTTCACATTTTTGGAGGCAGGGTCTTACCACATAGCCCTGGTTGGCCTGGAATTCACTATGGAGACCAGGTTGACCTCAAACTTAAAGTGATCTTTCTGGCTTTGCCTTTCAAGAGATTTTTGTTGTTGTTTGCTTTTTGAGGTAGGATCTCATATATCTTAGGCTGACCTTCAATTGGGATGTAGCCCTGGATGACCTTGGATTTCTAATGCTGCCTCTGCTTGTACAGTGCTGGGATTAAAGGCTTGAGGCTGTTTGTTTTCTATTTAGCCATATTTAGCCATTCATTGCTCATCTTTCCTGTTTTCCTCCTAGTTAGGTTTAATGGGATATTTTTTTTTTTGATTGTGTGCTATTTCCCTCATTGGTTACTTAGTTTTGACTTTGCTGTTTGCTCATGATCTAGCATGTATCTTTGTCAGGCTACAGCCAACCACTTCCTAGTGAAGGAACTCCCTTGTCTTTTCTCTCAAGTCTGTTCTCTGTTGCAGTCCTCCATCGTACCCTGAGCGACACTGAAACCACCATTCTGCTCTGTGCTCTTACTGTTTCACTCATGCAAGCCTTACTCAGACTGGACCCTGCTGAGCGGTCCGGGTCAAAGGAGATCTGCTCCTTGAAGGTGTCATTCCATAGACTTCTGTTTAAACCATTATGCTTTAAGGCATTTCCATAGCAAGAACCAAGAGACCATAGATTTACTCACAGAGTTCCATCGTAGTTTGATTCTTCTTTTAGTCCATGTTTCCTTCTGGAATGTTGAGGGTCAGAGGTTGTTTTGCATTTGTGTGTTGGTGATTGGACCCAGAGATTTGTGCATCCTTGGTGCCCTAATACTGAGCAGAGACATCCTATGTCTATAGCTCCTTTTTAATATTTCCTTTTAATTTTTTTCAGTTTTAGGAAATCAAACCCAAGGCATTGACTATATTAGGCAAGAACTCAACCACTGAGTTGTATCCCAAATTACTTTGGGAATTTTAGAGGACAGCAGGTCTGCTGGTGATAATTATTTTCTACTGTCGTTTGTCAAAATATTTCACTCTCTGTGTGTTATGATGCTAGGGATCATATACAGGGCCTCATATGCAATAGACAAGAGTTCTGTTGCTAAGCTACATCCTTGGCTTTCTTTTTGAGACAGGATCTCACTTCTTTACCCACACTGACCTTTAATTTGCTTGGTAGCTCTTCCAGAGGACACTGGTCTGATTCCCACATTCACAACCATCTATAACTCCAGTTCCAGGAGATCCAGAACCCTCTTTTGACTTCTGCAGGCACCAGGGACACATGCATATATGCAAACAGACCACTCATACACATAAAATGATTAAATCTAATTTGTTCGGTAGCCAAGGCAGACTTTGAAC